TCGACTTTTGGAAGGCTTTCTTACTCCTGTAGTATATATGTTATTTGTTACTTCAGCATATTATGTAGGTCTGAACTAGACAGGTGTTAAAACAGTAGCAATGCCAATAACACTTCACGTTTATGTAGCACTTTCCCTAAATGATCAAAACACTCCCCAGAGGCTGATTTTCTGGTCCAGTTACAATGCTACATTATGCCAGAGCTAATGCCAGCATTATGTCCTTAGGATTTCATGTTTCCCCACTAGCCAGTGGTACAGGTAACAGGGGAAAAGAGTACACAGTGCAACAGCAGTAGCTACTCCTGCAGAGTTACTCATGTGGCTGGGGTATTTACAGGTTTGGCAAAATGTTATGCTGTAGCCTTACGGTTCTTATGGAGGATGCAAAGATTGTAAAATGGGCTTGTTAATACCTGAGTGATTGTCCTACTGTAAATTCCCATTAGCACTCTTAAGAGAAGCCAGGTTTCATTTATAGTGCTCCAACATTCAAACACAAGAGGACCACTTTGCACCTCTGAGTTAATTGCCTTTTAAGTAGCAAATGTGTACTCTTAATATATTTGAAAACCAATTAAAACAGCAAGTAAGGTGCTGTCGGCAGAGTACCAGCTTTTCACACAGTATATTCCAGAGGGACAGCCATATAAGTCTGTTGCAGCAAAGCCCACAAAGAGTCTTGTGACACCTGAAATACAAATGCATTTATTGCGGCTGAAGCTTCTGTCGTTTCTAGTCCACAAAAGGTTTGGTCACAATAAATCATTCTGGCTTCAAGGTGCTTCACTTGATGTGTGTGGAACTTGAAACCACGGAAGTTTATCTGGGAGTATTTCAGAACAAGAGAAGTTTGTTAGATTGTAAATCTGTGGATAGGGCCTTGTTAGTTTTATCTTGAATTTTGGAACTTGCCTTCTTGGTCAACATCACCCAGAGACTGAGAAGCAGTCCACCACTGATGACCACTGTCTGGGAACACCAACAGTGCAATAGTCATTGCAAGCTGAGCAGTGGCAAGCTGTCAGGCAGCAGGGCCTGGCCAAAGCGATGGAAATGGTGGGGGGAAGATGCCCAGTCAGCATAGACAATGGCATATCCAGGGCAAAAGAGATGCTAGAGGCTTGAGAAGTGGGGAGAGGTTTGCAGTGCCTGTATGGAGATGCTCAAACCACAACAGGAGAGGTCCAAGGACTCCTCTGCAAACTCTGTGAGGGCAGCAAAACAAGGAGGCAGAATAGGTGGACCTGAGTAGCAGTGAACATCCTCTCCTCTCAAAATGAGGTCCAGGAGCAATAGGATATCCTAGATAGGGCCAGGGCCACATGCGGAAGAGGAACTGGCATCCCTTTTGGGAGTCATGTGGACTGGGACAAAGCTGAGCCTCGCACATGTTAGTTTTATTTTTGTTTATTGTTCATGACATATGTACATCCACCTGTTGAAATCCTGAATGCCATTCTAGACTTCAGCCAGTGGGCCAGAAGCCAAAAGTGTATTTTGCTGAACAATCTGATCCCTTCAGAGGTGGCCAGGTTGCATAATAGACTAGGCCTTTTCACAGTAAAGACTTGCCAATGTTGGTGTCAGGTACACCTGGTGTTACATGCAACATCCAAATGAGAGATGTCATGATAAAGTGTGGAGTATCTCAAAATTTTTTGTGTAATTTGGGGAAACAATATTTTTCTTCTGTGAATGGTCAGACTCTTCAAAGAAATTAAAAACTGATAGGACCAGGAAGGGGCAGATTAAAAAGTTGATTTTGGGTCCAGATCTTCCCCACAGGCTGCCAGGGGGCTTACCACAGTGGAGAGCAGCTGCAGGAGTCCCAAATGACAATGTTGGTAGTGTTTCCTAAAGTTAGCAATTGATTCGTTCATTACTAAATGAATTTACTCTTGTTCTTCTTAATCTATGAATGTAGCATTTTGATGTCTGTGTATTTGTGATCTGTTTGATTGCTGCCACCTGATATGTCACAAGAGAAGGTATGAGTCATATCTTATACACCAGAGGGTTTGCTGAAGTCAGGAGCAAAATTTCCTTTGATTTGAATTAAGGCTAGTGTATGAATTGCCAGAATACATACATTGTTCACATGAGTGACCTGCTGTTTCTCTCTCTCTCTTTCACACACACACACACACACACAAAGACACATGCACAAGCAATATGCCAAGGGCGTTTTCTTCTTGTTGTTTTGTCTTTTCCTTTCTCCTGAGACAGCCCTGGTCTACAACCGCAGCAGAATGAGGTGGTAGAATTCGGAGATGGTAGAATGGGCTGCTCCACTTCAGACTGCAGGTGGGAAAAGTAATATTTTATGCATCTGTATGTAAAAACTCCCCAAATGAAAAAAAATGATTAGCAGATCAGGGCAAAAGATTCTCGCCTAACTCCTCACATTCTGTGATAGTTTTCCACTTAATGGCCGATGATTAATCCAGAGGACCATCCTGTAATCCCTTACCTGCAGTCTGTGGTGGTAGAGTCCATTCTGCAATGTCATTCTGCTACATGTGTAGACTAGCCCATTCAGATTATTATTCATTTGCAAGGTTTGGTTTATGTGGATGCAGGAAGCTGCCTTATGCCAGTTGTCCTAGCCCAGCATTGTTTACTCTGAGTGGCAGTGGCTCTCCAGGGTGTCAGGCAGCATCTCTCCAACTGCCCTGCTACTTGAGTGTCATTTAACTATTCATATAAAATATTTATTACATCCTCCACCCACCCCCACACAAACAGCTAGACCTGCTAGTGAGGCTACCTCCAGCTTAATTAAGCAATGAAACACACCAATCTATCACAATTAACAAGACCAACAGTAGAACAAAACAAAACAATCCAATGAGCAATAGTGTTAAAATATTGATAGCAGCAAGGATCAGTAATAAAACATTTACAGCCCATGTAGGAGGTGAATTTACAGTGCCATCCTGAGCAGAGATACACTGAAGTCAATGGGGAGGAACTCTGTTGCAGATGGTTCCCCTTAATCATCCAGAGGGAGATTGTTAAAAAATAGCAAAAAGCATGAAAAAAAGGAAATTTATTCACGATGCACTGGAAAATCAAGAATCCAGTTTGGTGCAGTGGTTAAGTGCGCGGACTCTAATCTGGGAGAACCGGGCTTGATTCCCCACTCCTCCACTTGTACCTGCTGGATGACCTTGGGCAAGCCATAGTTCTGTCAGAGCTGTCTTCGAAAAAGAGCACTTTCTGTCAGAGCTCTCTCAGCCCCACCTCCCTCATAGGGTGTCTGTTGTGGGGAGGGGAAGGGAAAGGAGTTTGTAAGCTGCTCTGAGACTCCTTCAGGTAGTGAAGGGCAGGGTATAAATCCAATCTCCTCCTCCTCCTCCTTCCTCTTCTTCGCACTAGCCAGCAGAGGGGATTCCATTGATGATGTGCCGAAGCAGAGAAGTCTCTGTCTCTAATGGCTACCTGTGTTCCATCAGAAAATGGATCCTGTTGGGCAGGGCTTCCATAGAGAATCTTAGCTCAAGCAGTATTTAAAGTACCCTGGACCAAGACAATTTAGGACTTTAAAAGTAACAGCCAAGCCTTTGGAATTGTGCCCCCGAGTGAACTGGTGAACAGCCAGTGCAGTTCTTCTACAACTGACGAAAAATGAGCTCCCCATAACTTATACCATGCAACAATATTACAGAGGCAACCCAGCACAGAATGCATTGCCGTAATCCAGCCATGGATGTGATCAGAACACAATTACCTGTGGCCAGGCCATGCCTCTGAAGGAGAAGCCTCAGCTTCTTCTAAAATCAGCTAAAGGCACTACATTTCATAGAGGAGAGCTGCACCTCTATTTGTAGTCATGGATCTAATAGTACCACCATGAGATGGTTGGGATAAAACCCAGGATTTTTGGGATACAAACCATACATTCTGGCACTGAGCTTATAGGGTCATGCAGACATGAATGTTTGGGTCTGATGGAAGATTTGCTCTCTGCCTGGGGCCTTAGCTTTCACAGAACTTGCAGATTAAAAAGATAACTGGTTGCTATTGCAAGGGCATTTAGTTTGCAATTTAGCTTCTCTACGTCATTCTGAATTCTGGCTGCTGCACATGAACCTAGAAAACATTCTACAATCACCTTTCCTTAGTTTTTTTTAAAGAAAAAGAAAACTGTTAGCAAATGAGAAGCATTTTGGCTTGAGGTCCTAAAGGTGTACTAGTTGTTTCATTTTGCCTTCCATTTTCCTTTGAAGAGAGCACGCCTCATCCTGACTGCTGAAAAAAGGGCAAAACGTCACATTCTAGAAACACAGCCGAATTTGAACAAAATGGTGACTAGAGTCCTCAACACATCTAAATTACAGGCTTCTCACAATTAACTTATTAAAAAGCCTTCTGGCACAAGTCTTGGGGGCTATGATACCCTGTTGTTACCCATGACTTCTTCCTACTCATCTTCGGTAACATATGTGTGTCACTACTGAGCCGTCAATGAAGTGGTTCTTTGCCATGTAAATTTTAATTTAGTATGTTGATGCAAATTGGTTTTTAAAATAGCTCTTGCTTAAAACCACCTTATATTCTCCCTGGCTATTCCTCATGACAAGAGGGCACAATGGGGATGATACGGAGAGGGGAGTACAGTTCTTGGGTTGTTTGGAAGGAGTATTGGAATGCTGTGGCTTTTTATATATATATATAAATGTATAAAGGCATGGAACCCTTTATTGTAGAGTTTGGCATCCCTCTAAATGAACTGATTTTTCAAAGGCAACTAACCTCACAGCACTAGGATGGAGAACACAGAGGGCAAATTGATATTTGTGGTTTTTGCACTGGCTTCACCTCCTCTTGTGTATTCAGCTGGCCATCCCTTCATTGTTCCTGTTTTTATTTTGGCTAGATTTTGCAGTTCTGAAAGCTGTTGTCATTTCATCTTGATTAAATGGTAACCTTCTCTGCCCTCTGCTCCCCTTCCTCCCGCTAATTCCCGTTCCCCTGTTCCCCCCTCTCTTCTGTAGCAAACAGCAGAATGCCTCCAAATCAAAATCTGTGTGGGAGCAGAGAACCAGCCAGATCCGTATGCACAATTTCCGGACTAGCTGTGAAGCACTATATAATGAACTGGATCCAGAGGATAGGGTGCGCTACGCTACCACCCTCCACATTCGTCCAGACATGAAAACTCATTTGGATCGTCCCCTGGTGGTTGAGCCAAGGAGCAGCGAAGGCCAGAACAGCAACGGCAGTAAGCTAAGCCCCACTGATGTCCAGGAATCAGCAGAGCAGGCAAATTCTGCTCCAGCCGAGTGCACCGAGGGTCCCTGGAAGCACCATCGGCACAGAGACAAAGACAAGGCTGGAGAGCAAGAAAAGAGCAATGTGCCAAAGGAAGAGAATGGGGAGTCTGGCACAAACAATAAGGAGGAATGCCACAGGCCTCACAGGAGCCGGAGCAAAGAGGGTGAGGGTGGCGGCAAAGAAGGGAAAAGTGAGCGCAACAGAACCCAGGAAGGAGGCAGACGGCATCACCGCCGCGGGTCAATGGAAGAGGGAGCCGAGAGGGAGCACAGGCGCCACCGCAGTCACCGGCATTCAGCAGAACGGCAAGCCAAAGAAGGCAACGGTACAGTCAACGGCACCAAGACTGAGCGCCGTTCACGACACCGAGGAGGATCCAGGCCTGGGAATCGGGAAGGTGATCCAGGCTCTAAAGGAGAGGGCTGTGAAGAACCTCACAGAAGGCACAAGACACGGCATAAGGCACTGTCAACTTACGAGTCGGTGGAGAAGGAGAATGGTGAGAAGGAGGGAGAACTTGGGGAGAAGGAACTGAGGAATCACCAGCCAAGGTGAGTTGGCCGGGAGGCAGCCTCTGCACTGATGCAGGGGTGAATGGCATGGTCAAGGCTGATGCTATATTAAAAGCGAAAAAGCCAGTTCAAGGACTAGGTCCATATTGGCATCAAATGATGCACTCAGTTCTGGAATTCAGTAGATTCCGTTTGAGAAGTATGCGAAAAGGCTAGGGGAAGCAGGCAAAGAAACAGGCTGGCAGGTACAAGGAGTGAACTTTTTTACGCCTTGTTGCTTAAAGCTGCATCTGCTAACTTCATCTAAGATAGGCTCTTCTATTTTTAAGGAGAGGGTGATGTCTGCTTCTCACTTCTGTTTGTTTCCCATCATGCCGTTTAATGGTTGGGTTAGTGGTGTGTGTATAGCAGGCACACGAGTTATACATAGGCTGTTTGCTGCTAGGTCTGGAACTATATTCAGATAGGCCTGACTGTCCCCCATGGGTTGTGTTTGCAATCTTTCTGCCACTTTAGGACACTCTGGGCCTGTACACTATCAAACTTCCCTGAGACCTATCAGCTTTTCTTTTTTCTTTTACTAGACAGAAGCAGACACTGGCTCCAAATTGAGGGCTAATGGTCTCTGCAGCCCCCCTTCTGGTCCCCCCCCCCCAGTTGTGGAACAATTCAGGAATTGCCCCCTAATCAAAGTGTCTGCATGATAATATTAAACTCTGAAGTAATGGAATGCTTGTGTGTTTGAGGAGTGGGAATGGGGAAGTCATGAATGACAGATATGAGCTATAATTTGGAATAAATTGTTCCCTTTCTTATCTGGGTTTGCTGTTAATCCATTGGGGGTAGGGAAGGTGCTAGCATGTAGATTTTTGGCTGCTAGAGGCCCCCTGCAGTGGCCTGATTTAAAGATTTTGGATTTTGGAATCATTCCTGAGCTGTAATGATATACTAGAAAGCTATTTACACTCCACAACCAATTAATCAGCAGGGCACAGAAGAGAACCTTTTGTGAGTATTGCCAGAAAAACCACTGTGTGCCTGCCCTCGTATCACTGAAACCATTTTCGATCCTCTGGTTTGCATTCTGTGACTGTGAACGGATTCTTAAGCAAATCCTATTCCTGGTGAATTATTTTCCAAGCTTCTTGATAAATTCTGTAAGGCCAAGGTTGCCTCACTAGCCCAGCTGAAATGTCATGAACCCAGTCCTCCAGACAATGAAGGATACCTTCGATAAGCTTTTATTTAAAACTAGCCTGATACCCGTGCTTCGCTATGGTATTTAAGTTCCATAAATCCAGTTATAATACTGATGATGTGAAGTTTGAAATGTAACATTTGCTGTAGGAATTCTAATGGAGAAGATTGTAGTGTAAAAAATGCAATGAAGTGAGACATATGAACCCCCCCCCCCCCCAATGAAGGACCTCTCTGTAGACCTCAGGTAAAGAGTTCACCTGGCTTTGAGTTTGTTTCCAAGTAAAATTCAAAGTGTGGCCTTTGACCGCCTGGAACTGTCTGGGGTACTCTTAAGGACTGCTTGCTCCTGTAGGAACCTAGCCAGCCATTAAGATCTGCATCACAGGCCTTTCTTCATGTGCTTCTGCTTTCAGAGGTTAGACAGGCAGTAATCGGGGGAAATGCTTTTCTTTGATGCCTCCCCATTTATAGAATTTCTTGCCCAGTCAGATTTGCTTGGTTCCTTTAATACTATCTTTCAGGCACCAGGTGAAGTTTGTTCCTTGCTTTCATCATCTCTACACTGAAGGCAGCTGCTTCTTTGTATAAGATATGTATTTGTTGACTGCTGGTTCCATAGTATTGTTTGAAAGCGGTTGTTTTAATGTTTTGATTGTTTTGATTCAGTAAGCTGCTCTTGATGTTACTTTTGAATAGAAAGCTGGAGCAAAAATCCTGAAAGTGTGAGAAAGAATGAGAATGAACAAACTGGGATAAGAGGATTTTTCCCATGTCATTCCTTGATTGTTCTGGCATTTCATTTTGCACTGTGTTCTAACCCTCCAGAATTTCTAAAATGAATACAGGAGCTGAGCATTTCGACTCTGCTGCATCCTTCCAGCCCTTCGAGTTTCCTCCTCTACTTCATCAGCATTCATGTGTGCATTGAGAAAATGCTATAAAAATAAGTTTTTATAGGATCATGTTGAGTGTATCAAAATCTTTCATTCATTGTTGCACTACATTAAAACATTGCACAAAAATACATTATGGAATCACACATATGATTTTATCCAATAGCTTTTTAAAAATACTGTTTTATCAGTTGATCTGTCTGCATTGATTGGGGGGGGCAAATAAATAGAGGGAACTGAAAACTGTAGCAAACTGCATATATCATTTGTATAAAACCTGGAAATAAAAAGTGAAACCATGAAGGATTCCTAGTACCGTAGATCCACCTGAAAAACAAAACCAGGCAATTCAGTACATCAAAATCTGAGGAGAAATTTGGATAAGGAGAATTTTATGATGAAGGGTGACGATCTGTCAGTCTGGGATCTTACTGCAAAGTCAAGTCGGAGTCAGGTTGTCAAATAACTTCCTCTTGAGAAGCTAACAGAGCTGCAGACCTGGGGTGAATTTATAATCTCTGCTTTTGCATTTCAGGGAAGGTCAATGTGACACAGAGGCTGGCGGGAGTGTGATTGTTGCCCCGCTGCACACCCTGCCAAGTACCTGTCTACAGAGAGTGCCTGAACAGCCAGAAGACGCTGATAACCAGAAGAATGTCACCCGCATGGGTCAGCCGTCACTGGACAAAACTGCCACTGTGAACATTCCTGTCACTGTCACTGCACCTCCAGGGGATGCTACCATCATTCCAAGTGAGTGCTTCCAACTTGGCAGGTGTGTCTGAATAATGGAATCTTCAGCTCTAGTACAACTCCCTGGTTGTGAGATAGCAAACTGTGGCCTCGGCCACACAGGCAGGAAAATGTGAGGGGGAGGCGTGGCTGTTTGCCCCGGAGCAAACTAACGCGTGACTGTGCAATCAGGCTTCGGGTTGAGGTCCCTGTGAGCTCCCGTGGTTAAGGGGGTAGGTGCCGATCACACACGCGGCAAAGAAGCGGAGTGGCTTGTTTTAAAAACTTAAATGTGCGCATGCTTCGTTGGGTGCTTGTGTGCATCTGTGGAGACTTGGGGAAAAAAACCCTTTTTGCGAGGGGACATGGGCAGGTGCCGGAACTACCACCGGAAACGCGATCAGACGCCTGCCCTTGCCCCGCGGTTTCCAGAAACTAGTACCTCCGAGGTACTAGTTTTTTACCCCGCATCTTCCGCGGGTAGCCTCGGGAGCTCTACGCTTCCCAGATGTGGCGGTGAGATCGCGCCCGGAAAATCTGCCTATCTTCCGTCTCTCTAGCGTGCCTAATGCTCCGTGTGACCGGGGCCTGTGTTGCTGATGACCTGAAACAATGATCGGCACTAAGGCTGTGGGTAGCATCTTGGATGAGACTCAGAGTGGCTTAGTCACCTTGGTCGGGTGCAGAAGCATGAAAACTAGGGATGAGCAAGTGCTCCTGTTTTGTTTCTCTTGATATTTGCTTATATTTTTGGTAACCTGTTTTAGTTCTCCCCTTTTCAGTGTTGAATGTGTAGATTAATGTGTGTTGTATACATGCATCGTAAACCAGTTCACAGCCTATAGGGCTCTGGTGCAGCTTTTGTATCAGCCCCTCCCACTATTTGAATAGGGCATGAGGATCCTATCGGAGAAACTTTGAGCTGTTTGCTGCTTCATAGAGGGTGGCCTATGGGCAAAAGAGAGTTCAGCAGCTATTGAAAGCTGGTTTTGATACTACTTTGCAGGCTTTCTGCAAGCTGACTGTCCCACCTGCCCTTTGGAATAATGTTGCTGTTAAACAGATTAACAGGATTTTTAAAATTGGCAGTGGAGGATGCCTTCTTTTCCGCCTGCTTTACATTGTTCCAGGATTGGTGATTACATGTAGTTTGGCCTGGTCTTGAGACTGGGTAGGCCATAGCTTGGCATGAATAGGGTAGGTTGCCACAGTATAGGTAGGGCATTGGACAGATACTCTGAGTCCACTGTGGATGAAAGGCTGTTCCTTGCATCAGCTCATCAATGACTCAAGCAGCCAGATAGATTGAGGATGGGGCACCCTTTGTGCTGAACAGCATCCACTAAGCTCGTGGAAGGGTTGGAGATGACACTTAACACCTCTCAGCACTGCTTTATGTGTAGGCGAAAACTGCTCCTGCTGAGGATTAACAAAGACAGTAGAAACACTGGCAGAGTTTGGATTGGGGCATGTGTGCGCGTGCGCACATGCAAAACACTGGTTGTCGTGGTGACCTACTTGCTAGCCAGAAATCCACCTTTTAAAAGTAGGGCAAGGTTCTTTGTTGATATAGACCAGCCGTTAATAAAATCTACTTTAACCCAGTTGCTCGTGTCTCATTTCTTCATTTCAAGTGCTTCTACAATAGTTTTATATGCATCTGATACATTATTCATGTGTACAGAGTATATGTGCGTTATATATCATGTGCATACTTAATGCAATTTTTGATATGCAAATATTGTTGAAACGTGTACATTTCATGGGGAAAATTCAGTGCAGCAAAACCAAAAACTGTGCAAAAATAAAGTATATTTAGTTTCTGTAAGGAAAAAGCAAAGTGAAAATGGAATTTGAAGGAATGGGAAGTTTGAAATCATCCCTTTTAGTAACATAAGGCTAAATGGGTTGTCAAATGGTCCTTCACATCCACTCTTTGTCGCCTTCACTCGGGATCTTGTGCGAAGTGTTTCTGTAGAAGCACTGCAATATATACGTTTTTGTATTACATTCAATGGCAGCAGGCAAAGGAAGTTTTCTCATAACTTTTGTGTGGCACCTAGTATAGCTCTGTATAATGATAACATGATACAAATTAATGATACAAATTAAATAAATTGACTAACTTATTAATTGGGCCAGGCAGTATACTGACGGTAAAATCTTTAAATAAGTTTAGAATCCCCTCTTTTGATGCCTGTTCCCTTTTGGCTTCACTGCAGTGAATAATGTTGAATTTGAAACAAAAACAGAAGAGAAGAAAGACATGGATGCTGATGACTTGACAAAAAATGGACCGAAACCAATCCTGCCTTACAGCTCCATGTTCGTTCTAAGTCCTACCAACCCGTAAGTTATCTCAGCTGTTTTTCTGTTTTGTGAGTCTATTTTGCAGTATTTTTTGGTGCTCTTCAGTTTAATGATAATTGGGGACTTCGAACTTGTTTGGACAGGATATGGCACCTATGAATGGTGGGGAGCTTGGGGAAAGGAGAACATGTCTTATCTCCATACCCTCTTGATACGCCTTTGAAGATTCAACATGAGTATGTCATCTGGAATCTTTTTATGTTTTAATGACTATGGAATATATTAAATACATTTTGTATATGCTTCAATATCTTTTTGTATAAGGCATTTGCCTGCCGATTTTGTATTTATCTATCGCTTGGCAATATATGTTGAGATTTTCTTTGATCCTTTTTCTTCTTGGAATGTGATATGGCCCCCTTGGTGAAACTAAATCACTTGTAACAGAATAAAAGCAGGGTATAAATCAAATAAGTAAAATAAATACACTGTTAACAAAGAACCAATTCTATTGACTAAACAGATTCTTGGTTTCAAATATTTTCTTGGCTTCCTTGTATTACAATCAAAAGTGCAGCATCAAACTAGTTGTAAAAATTATTCATACCATCTTCACTAACACCTACTCAGTATTGGAACTGCTTAATAAATACTAAGCATTTCAGTTAATACAACTTCAGTGGAAATATTTGCATAGATTAGGGATGGACACGAACTGCATTTTTGCAGTTCGGTTCGTGGCTAACCACGAAACTATACCAACTATACCAACCAAAGGTTTGCGAAACAAATTAATTCATATGGGTTTGTGACCTGTGCTTTCTGCTCTGGGCAAAGCAATTTGCTCCCTGCCTCTCAGTTGTTTAAAGGAGCTTTCTTGGGCAGCAAGCCCTGGGGACTAGCTGTCACAGAAAGCCCCTTTAAACAGCCGAGCATCAGGGAGCAGTTTAAACTTTATAGGGACTGCAACAGAAATCCTGAAACAGCTGAGTGGCAGGGAGCCCCAGCCGCTCAGCTGTTTTTGCAGCTTTCTGCTTTGGCCAGGAACCAGCACGAATCCATGAATTGCCTTAAAAGTTCGTGGAAGTCCATGACAGTAGACCCGCCATGGACTTCGTTTCTTGAATCACAAATAGGGCAAAATTAATCATGAGTTTTGCTTTGGGGTTTGGTTCGTGCCCTTCCATAGTATAGATAAATCTTTCTCATTCTTGTTAAATTCAGTTATCCTTTCTGGCAAGTTGCCCCTACCAACTTCATAACTTTGGAGATGAGTGCTCATGTGCAGTAGCTCGTAGCAGAGCCAGCTCTTCCTTGTGCTTTTTTCTTTGCCTCCTTCAGAATCCGGCGCCTATGTCATTACATTGTGAACATGCGTTACTTTGAAATGGTCATCCTCATTGTTATAGCGCTCAGCAGCATTGCATTGGCTGCTGAAGACCCAGTGCAAGCTGAGTCGCCAAGAAATGAGGTGAGTAGTTGTGCTATGTTGAAATTTCACAAGGTTAAATTTTTGCTGCTAAAGTTGTCATTCCGGTGCAGCAGAAAAATATTCATGAGAAATCCCTGTCTTCTACTCTTTCCTGCATTTTGCGCACTTGTTCATAGCCATTGTTGCCCCAATCTGGAGCTGCTTTGGGAAACTCATTCCGCATTGCTGGAGCAACTGGGACATCAGTATGCACATCCTACTGAAAGTAATGCATGGCAGAGGAAATATCACCATTTCCAAGAAATCATGGTTCTGATTCTAAGCACTTATTGACTAAGCTAATGTTAGAGCCAATGATTCCCTTGCACTGTGAGAAATCTTCTGTTGGATGAAGGAGTTCTTGGAATGGAAGAGGAGATTTCTTACTTAGTGGAAGGGTACCATCTTATCCAATCCCACATCTCTTTTTGACTGTAAGAGTGCCACCATTTTTAATCCAGAAACAAAAGTGTGCCCCTGTTATGAAAGTGTGCCCCTGTCATACCATGGAATCTTAAGTTGACCATGCAGAGTTATAGTAGTAACATCCACTCCTATAGAAGCCCCATTCTTTCTCTGCTGTTCTTGTATAGATCGGTCCACCTTTTCAACCAAGTCTCTTATTCTGATTTTAGGCTCTCAAGTACCTGGATTACATATTTACTGGTGTCTTTACTTTTGAGATGGTGATAAAGGTAAGAATCTCCTTTTGGTCCTTTTAGCAGATGTAAGCATCATTCAGTTGGTGACCTTTAGAGATTCCTCGGCAGTGGTGGCAGCTCCATCCTTTCCAGGTGCAAAATAAACACTTCCAGTTGTGGTTGTGGCATTCCACTTTCATTATTGCAAGAGTGTTGGGAGCACCATGGTTAGCTGTACCTGGCCCCTTGCTACACAGTGTCCAGTTCTCCTCCACTGGCCACCCCTGCATGTACTTCACAACTGTCTTTAAGGCATTGCCCCACAGCCAATTGTGCACCAAAGGCCTCATTCCAGTTGTCCTTCACACACAGTTGGTTCCCTGTAAGCCCACCTGCTCACCCTCTCTTCCCATCATGGTCAGTGCCAGCAGGCGCCCCCGCCCCCCGAATGACAGAATGGGCACCCTACCCACTAGAGAGCAGTCTTGAGTAGCCTGCTTGGGTTCACTCTCCATGGCCTCCGGAGAGTTTCATGACCCCCAGGTTCAGTAGGCCTTCCAGTGGATGCCACCAACCCTGTCTTGTTCTGTCACCTGGTATCTACTGGTATCTGAAGAAATGAGCAGTGGCTCACGAAAGCTCATACCCTGCCACAATTATTTTTAGTCTTTAAGGCTCTTGCTCTTTTCTGCTGCTACAGACAGACTAACATGGCTACCCATCTTGATTTATTTCATGGATAGTTGACTAACAGTCAGAAACGGACTTGCGTAAGGGTGATGCTCACATTGATTCAGGATTGAGAGGTTGCATGTCTTCCCATATAAGCTTTTTTTCCAGTGTAACAGCAGTGGTTGCTTTCCATTACCACAAGTCAACACCAATAGTCAGTTGCAACCGGTTAAGATTTCATGGTTTTTAAGCCCCCCAACAAGGATCATTTTGGTGGTAAAGGGAGGGTTGGTTTGTTGCAGAGTGGACTCTAAGGGTGCTACATTCTTTTCCTCTTTGCAGTCCATTCAGCACTGAAAGGGCAGATTTGCTGTAGCTGTGTGTGTGTGTAAACATTAATGTATGCCTGAAGCCTTTTGCTCTGCTTTTGATTCCTGTGTAGATGATTGACCTGGGACTGATCCTGCACCCTGGCTCCTATTTCCGTGACCTCTGGAACATCCTGGATTTTATTGTGGTCAGTGGGGCTCTTGTGGCCTTCGCCTTTTCGTAAGTAGCTTTTCTTTGGGGGGGCTCTGATTTCCTGAGCAGAAAGTTGGGCAATGCTGATCTGGAAATGCTGGTAGAACACAAATCATTTTTCAAAAACGGTCTTTGAAGCTATCCATTCCTGCTCACATTTGGAACATAAAAGTGGCCACACCATGGAGAGAGGTTTCCACTTGTACCTTGTTTCAGAAGTGGAGCAGGATGTAAACCATGTTATATAACTTTTCTGAATATGCAGGTTGTTGAAGTTCTCTGCTCCTGCAATTCACATTTTTAATACAGACAAGACCCAAAAGATGCCTACTTCTGTTCAAACCTTTTCATTTGGTCTTTATTAGAGTTGGTCCAGTAGCCAGAAATGTTATGGCAGGGGGCTAAGGACATCTAAAAATATCTTTTAAAACATTTAATTGTATTAAATATTAGTATAATAATTTTTAATTTCATAAAAGTTAAAAATGCACCTTGTCTTCATCAGTTATTTCAGTGCCTTTGCACTCATTGGTTCAGAACACTGGAAGGCAGGAGCAGATTTGCATCCTGCTGCAGAACAGGATTTGGCTTACATGCTTTTTCCATTCCCCCTCCCCCTTGTATCTTTTACCTGTGCGGGGGGGGGGGAAAAATGAACATCTATGAATGTTCCTTAGCAAGAGTAATAGCAACTGGGAGGAAGGGGCTCAATGGACAAACAGCACAGAGAGGAAAAGTTGTTATACCCTCTTCCTTGCTGCATCTGTCTTCCTTCAGCCCCACGGCTGTATTTTTCTTTTTGAAGTGATTGACGAGAAAAATAATCATGGGGCTTCATGTAACATCTAGTTCTGCCCTTAGGTGAGAGGAGAAAGATACAGAAGCCCCATGTTTCTTGGCGGCTGAGAAAAGACATCCATCTTTGCTCAGGACATCCCTCTAGCTGTTACTTTTTGTTATTTTTGCAAAACTGATCAGTCCACAACTTTCTGGAGGCTTCTTATCCCTTCTGTTGGTTGGGAATATATTAAAGCCACAGCAGTCATTTTCTTTCCAGTAAAGGCAAGAGTGAGTCAGAGTCCTAGAGGGCTCCAACACAGATTCATACTACAACGCTTTGGTGTAGCTGGAGCCTGAAGGTTGTAAGATTTGCCAGATAAACCAGGGGTAATTGGCGGTAATGTTTTTGTCATCGCCGGAAACTCCACTAGAGAATATTTTCAGCACTGCTCTCATATGCTCAAAATGTCCTTTTTTTCCTGATACGTTCTTGAAGTTTATTCTTCATCTTATTACTGTGCATATTTCTCTATAACTGGGGTTTTCAAATTGCTCTCTGACAAGCTGAGTCGAGCGGGTTGACAGCTTTTCCACCTAAGCTCCTGGTTTTGTAGCTCAGGCTTGTCTGACCTTTTTGAGAACAACAACCCAATTTGTGCAACTTGATGGTTAGATCATTTCAGAGTGTAACTCTGTTGAGGATGTGGACTTGGGGAAGGATTTTTCTCCATGTCATAGAGGAGGTTTTTTACCCTTTAGTTCAGAGGCAGAAAAGCAGTTTGTTCTGCCTGCCCACTGCAGCACGTGGGTATGAACAGCGCTTGGTCTGTTCTAGGTGAAAGAGAGGCAGGGAGAGAACCTTCCCCCTCTATGGCTGACTTGGAATTTCTGAGAAGTCTTGCCGTGGCCATGGTGAGTTCCCCCTAGAAAACTGTTGGGTACGTTTGGATAGCTGATGGAAGCTAGATGGGAACTGCCAGGTCTTGATACATAGAGGAATGGATTTAAGCTAAAGATGCTAGTGGTGAGCCTCTGGCTGTTACCATCTTGCCGGTGCTGATCAACAGGCCCTAAGGAAGTCCTGCAAGCCCCCACCCCTTGACCAATAAGCCAGTCAGTCACCATGTAGGCATGGCCAAGTCTTCATTCTTATTCCAGTAGTCTGGTGATGCCCCTTCTCTGTATGCCCCCAACATTGGAGGTATGGAGGGTAGCAAATGGAGGGTGCTTGCTCTTTAACGATGCCATGGCTTTGGAATTTGCTCAGAAGGGAGCCATTCTTTCTGGCATTCTATTGTGTTGTAAAAATTTTTAATCAGGGCTTCTCCAGGTTATGTTGCCAATTACATGGTTTTAAGAACCTGGGATGTTAATACTGGTTTTAAAGTCATTAGAGCCACGTGGTGGTAAATGTTGTTGACTTTAATGATAATATCTGATAGTGTTGTTTTTTTACTGTGTTTTTTTAATATCTGTACATTGTTGTAATCCACTTGGAAAGTCTTTTTTGGATAGAAGGGCGGGAGATAATTGCTTTTAATAAGTAAAATGGAGTATAGGGTATGTTATTCAGACATGATAAAAATTAGCCTATGTGAAATGTGCAAAAAGTTTTCAGGTTGCTGAATGTCTGGCGGGGGGTGGGGGGAGCGGCAATGGCTGCTCTCTGGAAATATAAAAGTGAGCAGCATTTCAGATCTAAGTATAACCATATGTTTTACAGCCTTTAGAACAGTTTGAGGTCATATTGTAGGACAGTACCTTATCCCCAAGTCTCTTGCCTGCTTCCCAGTAAGCTTTGTGGCTGAGCAGAGATTTTGGGCTTGCGTTCTCCCACATCTCAAACCTAACATTCTCATCCATTGCCCCTCACAAGCCAAAACTGTGTAAGGTACTTTATGCTTTTGGGGGCAGATGGAAAGCTGTCAAGCATGCTAATGTTTGTCAAAGATTTAGAGCCTGGGTCTGTTAGGCAAAACCAGCTTTCTGGATATCTATGTATCATTGAGCCTTCTGTCCACTGAGGTACAAGGTGATTGTTTGGTGCTTTGTTTAAAAACCAGTTAAGAAATGGCTGTGTTCTTGTAAAAGATTGTGCATTTCCTGATTCCTACCTACTACCAACAGAGTTGGAATGCTGTCAGCAGAAAGTCCCACATTTACCAGATTAATTCATTTTGGCTTTGATATGTGGGGTCTTTTTGCTGGCTGTTGTGTGACTTGAAAGCCAGACCAGTGAGTCAGAAGCTTTGACTTTTACCAGAACCTTAGTGTGTAAGCACAGATGCTATTGGAATCCACAGCAACTGAGAACACACATTCTCATCCTTCTCATTTGGGCATCTGTCCAAATATGCTTCTCTGTAGTTCTGCCTAAAATATTCTCACTTTGGGCCACAAGGGTCCCTTTTAAAGAAATACAATTGTTTTTGTAATGGTATTGTATGGTTTTGAACCTGGAAAGACATTCAGCATACATTTTTTTCTAAGTATTGCGGTGGGCTGAATAGTGAAAATGGGAAAGGGATAAAGACACATTCATTCCAAACTATAACAGCCACAAAGCATAACAGTTTTCAACACCGGTTCTGCCTGTTCACTTTTATCTATGCATGAAAAGATTCCTCCTGTTCCTTTATCACTGTAATTTTGAACTTGCTGCAGCTTTCAATTCCTTCCATTCATTTGCGTTTCCCATATCAGCACATTATTTAAAAAAAAAACCCTTCAGAAAAGTAAGTCTTGGTGGGATTGTGCACAATTGCATGAAGAGTGTTCCCTCTAAGCTGACTTAGTGTGAGCTAGCTCACATCTTTTTAGCTTCCAACTCACACATTTTTGTCTTAGCTCAGGGAGGATGGCTCCAGAGCAAACTAATTTATGCAGTAGCCAAATCTCTCACTCACAACTTTGATGCCAGTAGCTCACAAAGTAGAATTTTTGCTCACAAGAGAGCATTAAAGACTGTCATTTTATTGTGTTTTACTGATGTCCATGTGCACTGAAGCACGTTGGAGAAGGGCCACATTAGAAATAATATTGATTTAACTGCACGTGACCATATCAAGATTGTTTTCCCCCAGTGTTTTATCAGTTCACTTTTGTCAGAGGAGAGAAAGATATGAATGGACTGAAGGAACTAACAGTTGCAACAACATGTACATGCACAGTGCTCTCTTCTAAATTTGGAAATTAAAAAAAACAGAACAATAATGCACTTCAGTGGGAAGGTAACAGCGTTCCATGCACGCCGGCATTTAGTCATGCTGGCCACATGGCTGCGGAGAAGTCTTCGGACGGTGCTGGCTCTTCGGCTTGGAAATGGAGATGACCACTGCCCCTTTGAGTCAGATTCGATTTACTTTTGAGCAAGGGAAACTTTTACTTTTTAATGCACTGATTCCCCTCAGAAAGAAGACCAAGTATTTCAGGAGTCTAAATCTAGTAGAAAATTTAGGAGACTTTCAGAAACTCCCATCCTTCTTTGTTTGTGATGAGGAATGGCAGTGGGTTTCCAAGAGTCTCCAGCCCATAAACCTTTCTTTTTCCTTTATAAGTGTTTATACACAAGGTAGGTCCACAATATGATCCATACTTCCTTACTTCTGTAACTCTGTCAAGGACTTGAACTGGGCACCTCGGGGTCTGTGTGTGGAGGTTTACCATTGAGTTACTATGGACTGATGAGAAGGAGAGGTGAAAACAATTGGAGTGCTTGCCGGAAATGGCTGCGTTCAACATATAGTATGCAGTTAGTTGGTTTAAAGTTAACACTGTGTCATGTTTTTGAACACTAAAAAATTCCTTCCAAAGTGACAGGAAATCTGAAAGTATCCTGATCCTGTCTGAAAATGTGAAGGATGGATATGCACGCATGCAGTTGTTCCACTTCCTATTTGCTTTGTGAAAAGTGATGGATGGGAGGGGATTTCCTTTTTTATATGTTTGCTTTGAAGTTATTGTGATGACGTGCACTTCCTTTTTGCCACTGACTCTGTGCTTTTTCTTTGTCTTCCTCTTGCTGGGATCTCTCTGTAGGAGTGTCATGGGGTAATACACTATTTTTGTCCCTTGCAGCCTTGCTATGCCTGCGTATGCACACAGCCATCATTCTGGTGATCTATTTTACACCTGTTCCATTGACTGTTCTGCCCTTCCGTTACTCATCATCAGTGACATTTTCTTTCCCCAACTTAACAGATCTCATTTGCTTACATTTGCTTTATCTGGATTAACAGTATCATAACAGAAGGCCAAGCCTCCAGAGCTGCCACATCCAGTTTTAGTCTCTAACAAGGTCTATTTCAGAGAACCACGTCTTGGTCTGTGATATGAGCTTGTCAGAGGAGAAAATGGTTTTCAGACTGTGTCCTGGGGATCCTTTGAGTACTTCAGAAGCATATCAGGGTTTCTAAGCAGTAGCACACAAGAAAACATTCCACAAGAGTTGTAGCAATTGCTGAAGTTCAGAGGAGAGCTCTGAACCATGGAGAGCTTCTTTACTCCCTGCCTGGGCTCTTACTGACAAATATTCTTGTAGGCTCCCTTTCCATGATGCACAGAACAGATGTTTTTATGTTCCAGTTCTGAACAGGGGGTGCTTTCCATTCCGACTGGAAGTGATGGCCAGTGGGGCAAGTGAGGTCCAATCAATCAGAACCAGATACTTCACAACCTGAGGTATCATATAATTAGAAAAAGGACACATTCAGACTCTCACAGCCACTGATGCTGATGACGGCATCACAACCAGCAAGTTTCCATTTGCAGGAGATATATTTGAAACAGATGAATTCACATGTCACAGAAGCTGAAAACAAGCCACATATTCTACAGCTTCGAAGGGCTAAAAACACAGCCAGCTTCCTGCCTTTGTGTAGTCTAATTTATTTATGCAGTAGCCTCCTTCTATGTCTAACATTTTAAAAGGACGTATCTGCTAGGGAACTCTCCTGTTCCCTGTCTGACACTTTTAGCATGGAGGTACAAGAGAGTTTTCTCCAGAATGTTAAGTCAGCATGGTGTAGGAAAGCCCTGCTTAGAACACTCCAAGATGTTGGCAACTCACCTACCTTGCAGATGTAATGAAAAGTCAGCTGAGGATGTATTTGGCTGTAAGGAACTGGTTGAATTTATTTATTATTTATTATTATAAAGGCCTGGGAAGGCCTTTATAAGACATGTTGGTGAAAATTGGTTCCAGCTTGACAGTTGAGCCTCTCCCATTGACTGCAGCCAGTTACAAGCTAGCACTGTGAATGAACTTGGCTGGATCAGCTCTTCATATCTTCTCTGTGCTGAGGGCTGTAATCATGAAATGAATGAGCTGTCTTCTGGAAGGAGAGAAACTCTCTCAAGTACTGAGCAGCCATCCCAAAGGCTATCCAGTCAAGGCAGTGAATCACCTTGATTTTGAAAATATTGTCTCTTACTCATTTCCCATTTTAAAAATTGCCCAAGAGTGTTTTTAGACTCAGCTGTTTTAATAGCCTGTGGTTTGAGGGAGCCTTGCTTGCTGGCAGCCCACAGGGTTAAATCCGATGGATTTCTCAAAAAGATTTCCCTAATTGCAAGAATTTTGCTACTGCCCAGAATTACCAAGGTCTTCTGGAACAGAACTCCTCTGCTCACAATGTTTGTAGCCTGCCAAAAGATAGTTCATGTCTCTGTGCTCAAATTGGAAAATAGCTAGATTTTTATTTATATTGCCTATACAGACATTTTTTCCTCCTCATGTGAGGTTTGTGTTTTTACTGCATTTGCTATGCATGAGTCACTTTTCTATTTTATCCCATGGCTGATCTGAATCCTTCTACAGGAGAGGTCAAACCATTAGATTTCCAGCCATACCATATGCCTAAATGTGTTTGAATTTTCTCAGTTAGCTAAGGGATGTGTGCCAGCCACAGCCAAGACTGGACTCTGCTGCAACAGCAATCTGTTTCCAGTCCTTGTTACTGAAGGGCACTTCATTATGATGGCCTGTACTCACATTCTTCTGTATTCTTTCTCCCCCTTGGCTTTTGCAGTTTCCTTTTCAACCTTTGACTGCTCTGCCTGCAGAGCATCTCTCAGCTCTGCTAACTGATCTGTTCTGATGTCACAATGGCCATCAGCAAATAAAGATAGTCAAGTTGCTTTGGCTTCTGTTGACTTAGCTGTGGTAATGTCATAGAGGAGCTGAAAAGCTGAAGCAGATGGCTAAGCACTGAAAGAGGGCCTTCTGAGACCTTAAAGCTGGAATCTGTGGAATTAAATGCAACAAGCATTCAGTTCACCTCTGTAGGCTTTCAAGTGGTGTTTTATGAGTGCAAAACAGGACCTTCTGCACATTACATTTTTAGTTATATGGTTAGGTATACGCATTAGAAACTTTGATTAGCTGCAGCTCCTTGCCAAATGTATATTTGTGAGGAAACCTAGGTTTCCACCTTGTTATGTATAAAGTAATGGTAAGTTGGTTGGCTTTAAAGCTTTGTAATGGACGGAGGAAAAAATAGGACACTTGCTGCTTTATGGTATGTGTGCAGGGGAAAAATCAGGAGGAAAATATTCAAAGGAGCCATGGTAAATGGATATGTTAGTTTGAAGCTTATCCAGTGCATTTCAGACTTGCTGCTGGTTCCCAAGGATACATCTTTCTAAGAGACACAATGTTAAGGGTGGAAAACAGGTAAAAGTACCAAGCTCAAAATGTTCATTTCAGAATATACCTCAATTTCCCGTGGCACCTGTGAATGTTTGCTTCCTGTTTTCTTTCCATGAACTAGTGCAGGACTTGTTTCTAGGTGGTGATAAGACACACCATTTTATGTGAAGCAGAGACATCTACCTTTACCCATGAGGGGTTGCTAGCACACTGGGTGTGTAAAGTGCTGTCAAGTTGCAGCCGACCTATGACGATCCCCTAGGGTTTTCAAGGTGAGAAACTGACAGGTGGTTTGCCATTGCCTTCCCCTGCATAGCAACCCTGAAGTTCCTTGGTGGTCTCCCATCCAAATACTGATGAGGGCCAACCCTGCTTAGCTTCCAAGATCTGACAAGATCAGGCTAGTCTTGGCCATCCAGACCAGGGTGCTTACTACCTTGCAATTCTGTGTCATCAGCTGGACTGTCCAGTAAAGACAAACAAGAAATACGATTTTAGGTGTCCAGCCTTACGCTCATAAAGCTTTACTTCAGCAGCATCCCTTCTGTGTACACAGTCCCCATCTGGGAACGATCTATACTTTTCTGAGCTAACTTGTCAGCTTAGAAAATGGAATGGTAAACTTTTCTTCCCATTTCTGGTTCCTGCTGGTAAAGCATAGAAATCCTTTGCTTAAATGAACACCCTGTGCTTATGACATAAGCCTCTAAGAAATTCATCACCAACTTCAAGCTGCACCTCTGTCCCGCAGAGCCTACTCATCTGCATGAACAGCCCGGGACTAACATTACTTATCACTTTGAGCATGTAATAAATGTGCATATTACATGGCTCAGCATGGTTTGAGCTGCATGTAGTCTTAAAGTTGAACCCAAAGAACATTAATAAGATGAAAGTGAAAGAGAGTCTGCCTGCCAGTCCTCTTTCTCTTTTCTGCTTGTCTAGTGGGTAAAAATACTTCATCAAATGATCTGTCCTGTGAAGGAGTGCTGAAATATTTCAAGGGAGCAGTTGTGTCTGGCTCTTTTTCGACACCTTGTACTAACAATTATAATGGTGCTAATGAACGGAGAGCTCCCTCTTTCCTTTTGGAGGTAGATTTCCCTTCTTCATCATAGGTGGATGTTGATTGCAGGTGCAGGGTATTGCACATTTCAAGGGCTTGTAGCCAGTAATGGGTATGGACATGGGTAAAAGTCCGTTGGGAAAGAATTTATAAGCCATTGCAAACCAGCAGAATTCTAAATACAACTGCACCCGAGACTGCCTTTTATCAAGTCAGACCTCTGGTCCACCTTGCTGAATATTTTCTGCCGTGGCTGGCAGCAGCTCCCCAAGGCTTCAGGTGGAGAAAAAACTTTCCTAACCTTGCTGAGATCCTTTTTTTTAAAAAAAAAAATGGAGATCCTGAGGACTGGATCCTGGGAGCTTTTGCATGCAAAAGAGAAGGCTGTCTAATGTTTCGATTAAAAGACATATATTATTTTTTCCCCTAATTTTACATACCAGTTCTCAAGTGCTTAGTACATTTTCATTCATTGACTGGAACCCTGAGAGGCAGGAGCGAGCTTGAGTAGTTGGGTAGATATGCGGCTTGCATGCGTTACCTTATATCTCTGCAAGAAAAGGGGCTAGATACCTACTGTCTTTTCAAATCAAAACTAAATATTCAAGGAAGGGACCTGGCATCTCAAGGACAATCCTCCTATCAGGTATTGCCATGACCCAAGTTGTGCCCCTTTTTTTCCAGACATCCATTCTAGAATAGAATTTTTGAATGCATTTTGCCGTGATATGTTGCATCGAAGGGGAAGGGGGAGCTCAGTGGTTATTATCTGGGCCGTGAAGCTTTTGGTGGAATCCTGCAAGAACCAAAGGCCTCCTTTTGTTGCTCTTGTGCTCTGTCTTGCAGACAAAACAAAGGCAAAGATATCAACACAATCAAGTCCCTGAGAGTTCTGAGGGTCCTCCGGCCTCTGAAGACAATCAAACGCCTGCCAAAGTTAAAGGTAGGATTTCAGTCCTCAGGTCCTATTGAAACATACCTTAGTATACATAACTAGGGATGCTGGCAAGTTCCCTTTCCCTGCACTTTTGACTCAGAAATCCCTCTTTTGATTTTGCTTCTGCCTTGTGAGAACTGAACTCGTGATTCTTGTATCTTCATACCATTTTGTTTCCTGTTACCTTATACACATATTATACATTGTACATATATTCCCTATAAATTGTATATAAAACCCATACAATATGGCACAGTATAAAGAAATATACAGAAACAGCCAACAGCAAATAATTGAAATGATTGACAACCTTGCAAATGAGTCCTAAAGAAGGGAAATAAAAATCCCTTTGCACAAAACTCAACTGCTGTTATTTTGACTTCTTCCATTCTTACCCTCTGTCTGCTGGTTTGTTATCCTTAAGTGTTACCAATGACCTCAGAAGCTCTAAATAGCCTAAAACCTGGCTGGCTGGCTTTCTTTCTTTCTTTTTGGTATTTTTATATGGGTGTGAGTGCAGGTGTGAGTGTGTGTGCACCAGGACGTCATGGCAACCTCTGGTGACTGACCCCTACTGGGGGCCTGGAGGATATTCAGAGAGGTGGCTGACTAAAGCCTTGCCCCCCACCTCCTGCCTCTGGTATTTCAAGGAGGTCTCCCATCCAAGTACTTTCCAGAGTCAATTTCAGTTTATTTCTACAGTCCTTAGACCAGTCATACAAAAAGAAGTACACCTTTACAATATTCCAAGATTTTAGAATACATCAGTGAAACATTAAAAGCAAATTAAAATTTAATCTAATATCAAACAACTATATCTAACTAGCTACCTTGGAGTTTCCGTGATCTGAGTATCACCATACAGAAACTGGCTACTTGGTGGGTGATTTTGGGGTTTCTATCAGATAGAAGAAACTTGAGTCTAGCTTTTTCGTAAAGACCCAGAATGTGTTCAGTCAGCGGACCTTATACGCGCCACCTTATATTACGGACATCTAAAAATCATGTGCTCTGTAGTCTCAACCTCCCTTAATGGGCAGGTACAAAGCCTTTCTGAGAAAGGAGTATTCTTGTATTTTCCTTCAAGAACAGCAGAAGGGAGGGTACTTGCCAGAGACAACCCCGCTTAGCTTCTGAGAGTGAGATCGGGCTTGCCTGGGCTATCCAGGTCAGGGGTAAGCCTGACTTTCCTAAGGGCTTCTTAGTTGCAGGATGAACTTTACCCATCTGTTACCATCTACTCTTGACATCTGAAGGTCTGTGCTTTTTGGAGGACCTTTCCCCAATTAGCTGGTTAATTACTTGAGACAGGGACTAAGTATTGTCACCCCACACTGAAGGCAGTTTACATAGAAGCAGGAAGTATAACGCAATAAATAGAACTATAAATACAGTTAAAACTACTAGCAAACATCTTAAAGCCAGCTGGTCTCATAGAATTAACACACACAAAAAACCCCAGTGTAAAATACCTTAAACCCAGCAAATTAAGCAGCATCCTGTATCCAAGAAAAGCAAGTAGTGTAAATATATCTATTAGTAGAAGGTACATAGTGGAAGGCAAGGAGAAACAAAGGGACAACTTCTGCCCCTGTCAAATTTTCCTGGTGCAAACCTTACCATCTTTTAGTCATTGGGTGAAATCTGTCCCATTTACCTGAGCTTTTAATAATGAATGCATCAAGGACAATGACTCCTTTTACTAACTGTTGACTCTGTGTGGTCCTTCCATTATCCCTTCTTTTTTCCACATTCAAGTTGTGAGCTCCTTGAGGCAGGACTCTGCCTTCAGTTTGTTTTGTTTATTTGGTTTGACTAAAAGTCACAAACGTGGATGATATTCGATAAATAACAATATTGTCAACACCAGAAGTCCCCTTCCCCCTTTCCAGGGAGAACTTATTGTTAATAGATCTTCAGCTAAACACTGCCTGAATAATACACATTTTCTGACAATTTCATTACATCAGTGTTGTCACTGTACATCAGTAATAGGGAGGGTCTTAGCCTGGCTGTGTTGTAGATCGCTCTTCAAGATTTCAGGCTAGTAGTGCGAAACTGTGAGATGTTACCTGCAATGCTCCTTCTAAGCTATGGAGTCTTGTGAGCAAAAATTCTGCTCTGTGAGCTACTGGCATTAAAGATGTGGGTGAGCAATTTGGCTCTTGCATAAATTAGTTTGCTCTGGAGTCATCCTTTCTGAGCTAAGACAAAAATGTGTGAGCCGGAAGTTAAAAAGATGTGAGCTAGCTCACACTAACTCAGCTTACAGAGAACACTGGTTACCTGTTGGGTGAAGGGGACTTTTAATAGTTTTGTTTGCCAGTGTGGAATGGTGGTTAGAATACTGGACTTGATGCAGGGTAACGCAGGTTTGAAACACATGGAGCCACTTCATATGGATTCAGAACATGGAGCCAAGGTCACTACTATCTACTCAGCCTGGCAGCAGTTCTCCAGGGTATTAGGTGGAGGTATTTTGTTTTTAAAATCTGGAGATGCTGGGAATTTAACCTGGGACCTTCTGCATGCCAAGAGGATGCTCTGCCAGTGAGCCATGGCTCTTCCCCTCTCCTCTCAGGCCAAGAAACTTACTGGTTATGCTCTTAACCAAGTCTATCTCACAGGGTTTTTGTAAGAGGGGAAAAAATGAGATAACCCCATCCCTATATTCCATCCTGAGCTCCTTGGAAGAAGCGGGTGAGAAATGAACAGATTAATTCACTTCAGGGCGTTAGTTTAAGCAACACACTGACAATCAGTCTTTCTGTGGTCCTCATCGAGCTTTGCATATTCAGTCATAAGGAAACCTTACTTGGAAGTAAGTGCCACTGAAATGGATAAAACTGACTTCAGAACAACTTCTTCAAGAACAATTATTGCTGCAAAACAGGACAATTCCATTTATGTTGACCTTTACCTGTTTAGTCCCTGCCCTTCCTCCAAGAAGCTCAGGCTTGCGCTTCTCTGTTTTTTTCTCGTAACAACTCTGTGAGGTAGGTTAAGCTGAGGGTCTAACTACATGATACACTTCCTGAGAGGGTCTGGGAGGCATGGCTAACTCTCAGGCGACATTCTGTTGACTAAAACTGGGGCATACCTGGAAATACTGTATCGAGGAGGAGGAGATTGGATTTATACCCCACCCTTCACTACCCAAAGGAGTCTCAGAGTGGCTTACAAACTCCTTTCCCTTCCTCTCCCCCACAACAGACACCCTGTGAGGTAGGTGGGTCTGAGAGAACAGCTCTGTAAGAACTTATGACTGACCCAGCAGGTGCATGTGGAACAGTGGGGAATCAAACCCAGTTCTCCCAGATTAGAGTCTGTGCTCCTAACCACTACACCAAACTGTAGATGCTGGGAAAATCTCCAGTGATCTTCACTGCTGAGTGGAGATTTGAACTTAAGTTATTGATGAAGACTGATTGTTCTCTCTCTCTCCTCACTGCAGGCAGTCTTTGATTGTGTGGTGAATTCTCTGAAGAATGTCCTGAATATCCTTATTGTTTACATGCTCTTCATGTTCATCTTTGCTGTCATCGCTGTGCAGCTCTTCAAAGGGCGATTCTTTTACTGTACAGATGAGTCAAAGGATCTGGAGAAAGACTGCAGGTGCCAGAAATGCATGTGGCCTTGCACAAGAGAAAACAGAACAATCTCACCCCTTTTTCCTTGCAGTTGGGGCCGGGGGGGGGGGGGCTGCCTTATCCAGCCTTTTAGGGCAGGGCTAGAAGGCACAAATACTCTTTCGGTCTTCCTACACCTGGAGGTTCCTTGGAAGAGACAGTGTTCCCTAGAGGAAGCTCTCAGTTACCACCCTGTTTTCTGACAGGGCTCTTGTGCTTTCTGCACCATGTCACAGCCAGATATCCAGTGGATGCTGCTTTAAATGGTCATCAGAGGTGGCCATTTTAAAATGGTGACTCTTCCTATTGACTTCAAGGAGGCAGGACTTCTAGAACCTCTGCTGGGAGGAGACATGTAGTGCTCCTGCTGTTCTTTGAAGCACATATATTCAGAGGTTTATTTCTTCCCAGTTCCCCTTCCTCATTGCCTTCCAGTCTGTTTCTATGCCCAATTGTTTCAACGTGCTGATCAAACTTTAAAGTCATAATTGATTTAGGGGCATGAATATTTCAACTTCTGTATGAGTTTCTGGGCATTAGGTTGTAACACTGAGCCTGTTTCAGGTGCTATCATCAGTGGCTGTGGTAACCCAATTTCTTTGGAACTCCTTTAAACCAGTGGCTCAGCAGGTGCCCTTTCCTCTCTTTGGGAGGGAACATAATTTGTGGGTGTGTTCAACCATCAGAATAAGCAAGTTATTTTTGCTGTAGAATAGCTTATTCTGATGTTCTCTTTTGAAAACTGTGCCATAACAGACAGCCTATAGCAGTGGTGGCGAACCTTGGCACGGGTGCCAGAGGTGGCACTCAGAGCCCTCTCTGTGGGCACGCATGCCATTGCCCCAGCCAGGCCTAGACCGTCATTAAAGTGTGGAATTCTCTGCCAAATAATTTTAAGTAAATGAAAGCATTTGGGATTGCTTTCCTTACGTTGTTTGGATCATCTTAAGTTAATGTATGAGTTGTTTTTTTCTAAAGTAAACCCTCAGTATTCAGGTTAAATTGCCGTGTTGGCACTTTGCGAAAAATAAGTGGGTTTTGGGTCACAGTTTGGGCACTCAGTCTCTAAAAGGTTCGCCATCACTGGCCTATAGATATAGTTAAGTAAAAAAATAAGTCATGTTATGCTTTCTTTATACTGAATTCTTGGTGAAACAGCGGGTGCCTTGACATCTAGCCAGATTATAGAAAAAGAGGCAGTGGTCTGAAGCACTGTCTTGTACCATTTGTCTATCTAGTTCATATTGTTTACTCTGACAGTGGATCTTTACCAGCTCATGCTACCTGAGATCCTTTAAATGAACCTGGAATCTTTCCCATGCCCAGTATTTGCTCTGCCACTAAATTAGAGCCTCTCCGTGCCTCAAAATACCTTAGCGACAAGGGGCATGTTACTATTCTCTGTTCTCCCTGGTGGATGTCAGGTGAGGAACTCAGGAGCCTCACAATACTACAGTCCTCAGTATTTGCTTTCCTTCTTTCCATTCCAGTGTTAGGAGAGTTTACAAACAGGGCTTCCCTCAACTAGAGATTCACGGTGCATTCCAGGATAAATTTTACCTTCAGGTTAAGCCAGTGGAGACACATTGATATATACAGAGGATACGTACAGAGGGTACTGGCTGTTCTGTTTCTTCCCACAAGGAATCCTGGAGTGCACCTTTCAGGTCATGGAGTGTAGTTAGCAGTGAAAGATCACCAGAGGGGACCAGACCTTCCTGCCTATCAGGAAAGAGGATACAAAAAAATCTCTTTTGCTTCAGTTTCCAGGCATCTGTATGTTGCAATGCCATATCAAGGGATCTTTGCACTAATGCAAGCCCATAGCCTCCAAACTTTCACAGATGAAAATAGGTTTGTTTGTGTATTGATGATATCTCTGTTCTGACAACAGGTGCCCATTGGTGGCTGCAGGCTCTGCCTCCCATAAGCCATATCCATTTAGTCTGCTGTCTTCTGAAACACGTGTTTCAATAAACTGATTGTAAAAAATTTTCATTTTTAAAAGATGGAGGCATGTTTCATAGAGTGTTTAATCTGGGTGCACCTCAAGCACACATTTTACTGGGGAAGCAGTTATAGGGGTAGGATGAAAAAGCTAACCCTCCAGCCCACATGCACACACAGTAGCATTTTTTTTTCTGGAAGGCATCTCACGTATCTCCATAAAAGGCAAAATAGGGACAGTGATTGACCAGGGACCCGTTCTCAAAACAGTGACTGTCTATGGCAAATTGGCTCAGGTATAGCAGGTAGGGATTAAGTCCCAGTCCAGTAGGCATCTTCATCTCCTTAATGCTGAGCCTGTTTGAATTTTCCATTCTGTTTCTTCTAGGGGCCAGTATCTGGATTATGAGAAAGATGAGGTGGAAGCTCAGCCCAGGAAATGGAATAAATATGAATTCCACTATGACAATGTTCTGTGGGCTTTATTGACGCTGTTCACTGTCTCCACAGGAGAAGGGTGGCCAACGTAAGTTTGTGTGGTGCTTCATGTCTCTGTTGGCTGTCTGGGAGCAACTGTCTTGGTCCTTTGCCACAGTCAGGAAAAGGAAAAAATGAAGGACTCGTGAAGAAGTTACTTTGTCAGTTAAGCTTCTACTTTTATTCTTTACGGTTGCTGAACAAATCAGAAATATTAAGAAGCACAGAGTGTGTCTTTTGGAATGGGAGGATTCCCTGGATACTTGTTGCTACATGATTGTCCACTCTTCTCTGACCTATGCATTTGTTCTGCTTTAGAACCTGTGAACTTTACATAACATTTTCAAAAAGACAATTGCCTTGAGATGGGAAAGTTGCTGAAGTTCAAAATTAGATTCACTGACGAGCTTACAACTTTAAAACAACATTGCAGTTTGGTGTAGTGGTTAAGTGCACGGACTCTAATCTGGGAGAACCTGGTTTGATTCCCCACTCCTCCACTTGCTCCTGCTGGATAACCTTGGGCAAGCCATAGTTCTGGCACAGCTGTTCTTGAAAAAGAGCAGTTTCTGTTAGAGCTCTCTCAGCCCCACCTACCTCACAGGGTGTCTGTTATGGGGAGGGGAAGGGAAAGGAGTTTGTAAGCCGCTCTGAGACTTCTTTGGGTAGTGAAGGGTGGGGTATAAATCCAATGTCCTCCTCCTCCTCCTCTTCTTCTTTGTTAGTTCCTGTCTCATACTTTGGTTGCATCCACCTGGAGACTTTTCTCTAATTTGTCAACCCATCTGGAGTAGGGATTGGGGGGGGGGGCAGTCACACAATATCATTCCCTAATCCCCTTGCTTTGCTCCAGTCTTTTTAAACCTGGCCTGATACAATCCTTTGGGATCAAGATATGTTTGCATGTAGTGTGGATGGAAAGCTGTGCATTTTGAAGGTCCCACCTACATCAGAACCATTTTCTTTCCCTCAGCCTCCTGTGATTGCCATCTCTCACCCTACTCCATCAGAGGACTTTTTCTGGGCTTTTCGTTGGTTCATCACTGTTGTATTATAATGTTATAACAATCTGTTGCCATGACCTACTTGTTCCTTTGATTTCCAAAATGCCACTTTAAAAAAGTAAGCCTCTAGTCTAAATGCAGAAATGCAACTTTCTCTCATATATCTGCAATAGAAATGGCTAGAGACTTGAAAAAAAAATAAAACCAGGGAATTCAGATGTGCTATAGTGCTATAGCATGATAGCAATTAGTGGTAGAGGGGTTTTAAAATCCCTCCAGTGGTGCAGTATGGGAAAAATGCAGGGAAACTGCAGCCTACTAGATCAGACCAGTGGTCCATCTGGTCCAGCATCCTGTCCCACACAGTGGCCAACCAGTTCCTCTGGACAGCCAACAACAGGGCATAGAGACCGAGACCTTCATTTGATGTTGCCTCCTGGCTCTGGGATTCAAAGGATTAGTGCCTCTGAATGTGGAGATTCCCCTCAGTCACCATGGCTAGTAGCCATTGATAGACATCCTCTATGAATCCTATCTAATCCCATTTTAAAGCTGTTTATTCCTATGGCCATCACTACACCCTCTTGCAGCGAATTCCACATTTGAATCTTTCTCTGTGTAAAGTAGTACTTCCTTTTGTTTGTCCTGAACCTACTGCCCATCAGTTTAATTGGATGTCCTCGAATTCTAGTATTTTGAGAGCGGGAGAAAAAAGTCTTTGTCAGCGCTCTCTATCCCATGCATAATTTTGTAAAATTCTATCATGTCCTCACTTAATTGTCTTTTTTTCTGAACTGAGAAATCCCTGACTCTTCTGCCTTTCCTCATAGGGAAGGTGCTCCAGTCCCCTAATCATCTTGGTTGCCCTCCTGTGCACTTTTTCCAGCTCTGCAATGTCCTTTTTGAGATATGGGGAACAGAACTGTACATGATATTCCAAATGTGGCCTCACCATAGACCTATACAGGGGCATTACAGTATTGGCCGTTTTATTCTCAATCCCTTTCCTAATAATCCCTAATTTAGAGTTTGCCTTTTTCACTGCTGCAGCACACTGGGTTGACACTTCCATTGAGCTGTCTGCTACGACCCCAAGATCTTTTTCCCTCTCAGTCTCAGCAAGTTCGGACCTCATTAGCCTATACTTGAAGCTGGGATCTTTTGTCCCAATGTGCATCACTTTACACTTACCAACATTGAACTTCATTTGCCACATTGTCACCCACTCATCCAGTTTGTGGAGGTACCCTTGGAGCTCTTCACAGTCAGCCTTGGTTTTCAGTATCCTGAACAATTTTGTGTCATGTGCAACCTTGGTCACTACACTACTCACCCACAGTTCCAGATCACTGATGAATAAATCAAATAGTATCGGCCCTAATACCGATCCTTGTGAGATCCTACTGCTTACTTCCCTTTATTATGAAGACTATCGATTGATTCCTACTCTTTGTTTCCTGTCATTTAAGGAGTTTTTAATCAATAAGAGCACCTGTCCTCCTATCCCACAACTGCTAAATTTACTCAAGAGTCTTTGGTGAGGTATCTTGTTAAAAGCCTTTTGAAAGTCCAGGTATATAATGTCTACCAGGTCACCATTGTCTACATGCTTCTTCAGTTTCTCAGTTTCTCAAATAACTCCAAAAGATTGGTAAGACAGGACTTCCCTTTGCAGAAGCCATGTGTAATGGTACCATCAATCAACGAGCCACTTCTCAGTCATGAGGATGACTTTATTAAAAGATGTGTCACTGACAAGATTTCTGTTTAGAATGGCGTGCAATACATCAAGCAGGTAACATGAACAAAGTTCAAACAGACTCTATACCAATGAGATACTTTCCCGCCCGAGAAAACAGCGCCAAAGTAATGGGAATCGTAACGGCCTGGAGATTCCAAAACATCGTACTTCCCAGGCTCTGAGCGATAGCAGTAGACATACGCGTCCTCCCTTATCTCCCACCTGCCCTTGAAGTGTTTATGCGTTTCGCTAACAAGCTTGCCGTTTATGAGCATGCGCAAGGGTCACTAGGCAACAACTATCAACATATGAGTTAATACAGAAAGCAATGCAGGTTAAGAGGTCCTAACATGTGAAGCATATATACAAAGGATCAACCATGACAGCTTGCTGACATTCTGCCCTCTCCAAACTCCTTTCCCACTTCTCCCGGAATCTCCCGGAATCTCCCGGCCATTCCGGGAGGATCTCCCGGTTTGTCCGGGAACTGCCGATGAAACCGTCTGATCATGTAAGGGGCCCGAATATCCCCTTCTTCCACCCATTCCCGGTGCTGGGGCCCAAAGTCTTTCCACTCAACCAGATAATACAACTTTCCCCGTTTACATTTCGAATCCAGAATACATTTGATTTCATAATGTTCTTGACCATCCAACAATACAGGTAAAGGCGAGGTGTGTGTTTCCCGCCACTCCGAGGACCCCGTGTCCTTTTTCAGGAGGCTGAAATGAAATACAGAATGTAAAGCCCTCAAATTCTTTGGTAAAATCACATCAACCGCCACATCATTGATGACCCTCTTGACTTCAAACGGGCCGATGTACTTCCAACCTAATTTCCTGCTTGGTCTCAACATTTTGATATTTTTTGTAGAGACATACACCTTATCACCAGGCTTCAGAGCCCAACCCTCCACCCTACCTCTGTCCGCCTGTTTCTTGTAGGCTGCCTTGGCCTCGTTTAATGTCTTACAAAGAGACGGCCAGGCCTCCTGCAACGTTTTACACCAAGCATGTGCATCCCCCTCCCCCACAAGATCCCCCCCTTGCAACATTGGGAGAGGTGGACTATCATAGCCATATACCGCTTTAAAGGGAGACATTCCAATGGAGACATGAAAAGCATTGTTATAACAATACTCAGCCAAAGGTAACAGCTCACACCAGTCAGATTGTTGATAATTGGTGAAGCATCGAAGATATTGTTCCAATGTTTGGTTCACTCGTTCTGTCTGTCCATCCGTTTCTGGGTGATAGGCACTACTGAGCCCCCTCTCCACCCCCAATAATTTCATGACCTCAGTCCAGAATATGGAAACGAATTGTGTCCCCCTGTCGGATACCACCTTCCTAGGCAACATATGCAATTTTATTACATGTGACAGGAAAGCCTTCGCCAAGGCTTTTGCAGTTGGCAGAGAAGAGAATGGAACAAAATGTGCCTGTTTGGAAAACATGTCCACAATCACCCAAATCACTGTTTTCCCACTGCTCAACGGCAGATCAGTAATAAAATCCATGGAAATCACCTCCCAAGGTCTGTTGGGAGTTGGCAATGGATGTAACAAACCTGGGGTTTTTCCCCCTCTAGGTTTAGTCA